AGTGCTTGGAGTTCTTGTCGTAAGTAGCTTGCATTAGATATTGTTAGGAAAGTTCGATGGCAGGAAAATCATCGCGGCTTTATGGTTGGTCTGCGGACGTCGAGGTGTGGTCTTTCAAGGAGTGTAAACCCAAAAGGAGTGCTTCTGACAGGCAATAATGACCGTATAGTTTTAGATGTAGTGTTCGTTTCACGGCGTTCGACCTCGACCACGCCGCATTCGACCTATCTACGCGCTACTTCGTCCGCTGCTGGCTGTGCTCGTATTTTAATAGGACACGTTAACTATATGGCGTTGTTCAAGGTTTTTCGATGAATGAAGGTCGCGAACGCGCCGCGCAGCCGAACGAACGGCTAAAAACGCTGGTTCGCAACAGTATTCAATCGTCCAACTCCAACTTCCCAACCTTTCCACTCTTTTTTTGTTGGAAATCCACGCTTCGACCCTATTCTTCTAATCAGAGCTGCATGTTAGCTTCTCAGTCCCACATATTAAAGTACGCGTCGTGCAGCACTAACAGGTGTCCTACCAACACCAACAACCTGCCCTCTCTTCTTTGCTATTCGTGATCACACTACGTGACAAAATGCCAATAGCGAAAATTGTCGCTACGGTAGCAAGGCTCAGCACAACCACATATTTTCGATGTATGTCCAGTCAGTCATCCACGGTGTATGCCAGCCGTCTTTTCTTGTCCTGATTTTGTTTCACCAAATCTGGGCCAGTTCAAATTAAAAGCCATCGCTGCCCTTTGAAATATTGCTAGTCTTTCGATTGAAGAGTAGCAACAGCGAAACTAGTGATGGATATGATTGGGTCGAACACGATATTGCAGGCAAGCTGTAATAAAAGCACGTTACATGCTGTGGAATATTCGATTCAGATCTTCCTATCATCTTTTCAATACACTCTCTGTTCACATGAACGCAATGTATTCGCCTCTAGCTGTTGCCTCATTGCCACAGTCTGCTCCTTCATTGTCAGAGAAATTGTAGCGTCACATGCAGATCGCGTCGCAAACTTTGTTTGTGTCTGTGCGTGAATATGTATCATCGCTATCATTGTCGTGTCTTTACAAGAGTATTCCGCCGTTTAAAGGCGTCGGCATGGTGAAGCAGCCGACGGAGCACAGTGATCTGCACTAGCGCTCATAGATAGCGAAGGTCGTGACAAGTTCGCGCCTGACGCTACGAACTGTTTCATTCGTTACCGTAGTTATTATGGTGGACGTTAACAACCTTCTCTCCTCACAGAACTACCTCAACTGGAGTATGCTTAATAAGTTTTATGGCAAGGTAAGTAGTGTTGTGGAAGTATGCACAGGAATTTTGATCTGCTAATCATAGATAGTGAACTATGTAGTTAGAAAGATCGTGAAGGGCTATTACTTGTTGCAATTGAATTTTACGCATTCATCTTCACCCTTGCGCTGGGACATTGTGGCACAAGCTTTTTTTATCTTGGGGAATAGTGCTACTCGTTAAATGTTCAATTTCTGTTGATGCAATTGCTCATAACAGAGCACTACGTGAGAAATGTATTGATCGGTGGTGCTGACGCGAACGTTTTAACAGAGCGCATCGTTGCATTTCCATCATTCTGAATTCGCTCAAAGTTGCCCACGATTGCGAATTTTGACCGGGCGATCTTGCACACCATCCTCGTCGCTGTTGAAAATTGCCAATCATCACTTTCTTGTTTAGTGTGCTATTAAAAGCGAAGCCGCTTTACATACAAATCTTCCGATTTGACTTTTTGCATGACAGCATGTCTAGAATTGGCTGGTTATAAATCCATAGAACAGTTCCAGTCCAAACTCATCACGAGTAGTGATTTTAATCCATTCAAAAATCCTTACTATACACATATATCACTTTGTCTCAACCGATTTTTTCCAGCCGCAGATGAGCACGCCGGACGATCCGGTAATACACTCACCTCCATCCTTAGGTGGACAACTGATGAACGGTGATGATCAATTATTCCAGAAGTTCACTTGAAAAAATGTCATTGTTCGCGCAAGTTTCAGGTTTTAACCCTGCTTTGACTTCGGCTAAGATGGAAGAAGGCATGGCTGCTGCATGCGCTTCTCCCGATGCTAGTGGCATCGATCCTAACAGCGATGGGGTGAGTTGGACAGTCTTCTCTATATCTGAACCACATAATCAACCTGTTCGCAAATTGCTATCGAAATGATCATTTTCCTATTAATTATTTCTGCCGTGTCGTCTGTGCACTTCCTGGTGTTCGTTTCCTCTCGAAAACCCAAAAGTACAATTGTTTGCAAGTGAAAGGGCACGTGTTCTAGAGCAGACTTACATTGAAGTGTATTCTTCAGGAAGCACGACGTCGACAGAAGACTTGCCGTGTTTGTGGCGACCACGCCACCGGCTACAATTTTAATGTGATCACCTGCGAGTCCTGCAAGGCATTCTTCCGTCGCAATGCTCTACGACCAAAGGCAGGTTTATCCTGCTATGTCTGATCTTCTCACATTTTCTTCTTCCAGGAATTTAAATGCCCCTACTCAGAAGATTGTGAAATCAATGCCGTTAGTAGGCGCTTCTGTCAAAAATGCCGATTACGGAAATGTTTTGCGGTAATTTTGCTGAAACTCGGATTCAAGGTACACACCATGATTTTTAGGTGGGGATGAAAAAAGAATGGATTTTAAATGAAGAGCAACTGCGACGAAGAAAAAATTCACGACTGAACAATATGGCTAATCAGCAAAGGCAAAAGCAGGTTCATAAATGTCGTCGACTTCTGAATTACCTGCTAGAGTTTTGCTGTTAGTATTCATTCCAGGAACTTGCCCGACAACACGCAGCTGTCAAAGCAATGACATCACCGTTGTCCATATCACCAATGGTGGATGCGCAGGTTGGAGTTCTCGCAGCATATGCGTTCACTTTCACAACTTTACTCTCTCTGGTAACCACAGCGCGATTGTACAGTTTCAGCTCGGAGCTCTCAGTGGTCGCGGAGGAATACCGCCGTTGGTGAGCCCAGCCGGGCAGGTTGGTATATCCCAGACTGCCGCCGTGTTCCGTGACCCCACCACATGCTTTCAGTATCCCCTGATGAGTCCAGCCGGATCCGGGTCGTCTGATTCACCCCCTTCCAGACCGCTCGGGTTGATGCCTGGAAGTCAAGGGAGCCCTGATGCAGTTAGTTTCTCGCCTCTTCAGACCCCTCTATTTAACTGGTTCTGTTTTCGTTGCAGTACGATCCGAACATGATGATGCAGCAGCGGCTCCGTTCACAGTTGCCGCAAGCGCCTATGCCTGGAAGTAAAGTCGTGGATCCATCTCGTCAGGTAAGCGAGAAATCCGCGTTTAGAGAATTTCAGCTTTTGAAGAGGTTATACACTCGATAGTACCATACAGGTAATTATCTCGATGGACGAATATCATAGTCTTGTGCAGCGCGCATCTCGCCCTGGTGAGGAGGAACCTCTCTCGAAAAGGTATTGCTACTAACCATTATCTGACCTGCTTGAGGAATGAATTATTTTCAGACCTGCATATTCGCCTACAGAGCTGGTAGCTCCGCAACCAAGGCCATTCCAGGCGCCTTCGAGTCAGATGCTACCAGTTCCCAGCCTGTCTCAGATTCGACCCGGTACATCCAAATATCACTTCAGATTATCTGCAAATAACATCGATTAGATTTAGTGGATTCAGGCGTCCCCACCTACACGGATCTTGGAGCAGCAACGAGTGGCGACTTGCCGAAACCGTCGTTCACCACAGGCAGTTATGATGAAGGCATGGAAAAGATGAACATGTTTTTCCACAACACAATCGAGGATGCCTTAAAGATCGATAGTCCGGATGATCGTTCAGGATCTGCTGCATCGGGCATTGTGACGTCACCAACGGCTACCAGCTCTACCAGTCTTCCTCTCGAGGTGAGAACAAGCGCTTCGGACAATCTGGACCTGAGGTGGCGATCTGGTGAATCGGCGAGGAGGGAATATGCGCCTTTTCAGGCGGAAACGTCTGGAACCTCGTTGGCAAACCCGTCTGATAAGAGGCTGAGCTATCAACTCAACGCAGCAGAGCTGCAAGCCCTTGATTTGGTACTGTTAAGAAAATTTTCATTTACATTCTTCTGAAA